CGGGGGGATGGCTCCATCCAGCTGCTCGGGGCTGCAGACGAGGGGGCCGCGGCTCAGGCCCCCGGCCGAGATTAACCACTGTGGTCCCACCAGCTCTGCCGTGGAGACCCTGGCCAGGACGTGCCAGGCAAGGCGCTGTGTGGGCCGGACCCTGTCTGCGATCATAGAATCATAGAATGGTTTAGGTTGGAAAGGACCTTAAAGATAAGGGATCCCTTAAAGATTGGGATGAGCCAATGTGCGTCTCCACGAGGCAGCATTGCAGGCGGGCAGCAGCGTCATGGGACGCCTTGCAGGTAGGACAGGCCAGCTCATCTCGGACAAGGCACAGGTAGACGTGGCCCCATCCCAGCCCTCACCCAGACCCTTCCTGCACCCTTCCCTTTGATGCGCAGCCCTGCATCAAGCGTGCTGTGAGCCCCGGGGTGCAGCTCACCCCGTCCCACGGCCCAGAGCAGTGGAGCCACCATCACACCCCACCAAACAGCCACAGTGGGACCTGCTGACACCCCCCTAAGCCAGACAACCCCCTCCCCTCACCGACAGCCAGGGTCGGCCACCCACACCCGAGCCGCTCAGCACCGCAGTGCCCCAGCCCCATGCACGGTGCCAGCACCATGGCGGCACACTCGGCTCCGTGGGGAACTGGCAGAGAGCGGAGCGGTCACTCTGCCCTGCCCCACGGCCCTGCTCGCCTCCCTGTGGGCTGGGAGAGCAGCGCTAGGTCCCCACCCCACCGAGGGGACACCAGGGCTGCCAGCAGCTCCGCCAGCACAGGAATGAGCAGGCTAAAACTGCTTCTGCACAGCCCCTGGCACGGGATGGAGGGCCACAAGCTCAAGTGTCATGAGAATCAAGAGGGGAAAACCACCATTTATTGGGTGTTCCAACCATCTGTGGCAGCGCTACAGAGAAACCCGTTTTTGAGGGCGGTGCACCCAAACTGGGGCAGCGGGTGCTGCAGAGCTGCAGGCAGCCCAGGACGGGGCAGGCAACACTGACCCCAGCTCCGAGCCAGGCAGTGCCCAACCCACAGCACCCCCGGCCCAGAGCACTGGCACTCGCCGCTCTGCCTCCTCACCCTCCCCGGGACCCACTGGGGGAGGACAGAGCGATGCCACACCAGGAACACCCCCTGTGTGGGGCCACAGCCTGGGCAGAGGAGTGAGCATGGATGGAGAAGCGCGTTGAGGGGCAGAGCTGCCCCACGGCACGACAGGCTGCCAGACCCGGAGCAGCCCCAAGCACTGGCCGGTCTCAAGGCGGACCCGTCGTCGCCATCTCCTCCGCATGTCCCTGGAGCAGTGAGGGCTGTAGCTGCAGGTGATGAGGTCCCCCCAGGGGAGAGCGGGATGGGTGCTGCTGGCACCCTGCGTACCCCGTCCCCCACCCGCAGCCAGAGGCGCCAGTTCCAGGGGGAGCTCTGGAGGTGGGGCAGAGTCAGGCAGCGCGCAGGCAGGGGGGCTGCGAGGGGACACGGCTTCCCCTCACATCCGATTTGCTTTCCAGGACAGGTAGCAGTTCCAGACGATGGCAACGCACTGGACGACGGCCAGCCTGGGGACAGAGGGGACAGGGTCCACAGCCGCGGGCTCCAGGGGCTGGGGAGGCGGGGGCCCGGGCGGG